AAATTTACAAAGATACACTAACTTTATCTAATGGTTTCTTATAACTTATATTAAATACATTAGATTGCCATTAAAAAAAGAAAAAGTGTTATTTAAAACACTTTGAGGTAACTGCGCTATAAACAAAAAATTATTGGAATCGTGGAAATTAAAAAATCTGAAAACTGTCTCAACACTACTCTAAACTTATGCATCCTGTAAAATTTTTAGGTCGTATGAATTGCCTAAATACTCATTTACGGGTAAACTATTTACTTCATACATATACATAGCTTTAACAATAAAACAATAGCAATATGTTTTGAAATTGGGATGGATACCAATTGAGGACAATGTAAGAGCTGTTCTCTACAGTCAAGAGGCGCCGAAGCTGGCGGCCGCAATAGTTCAGACATTTGATGTTATCTGAAGATCCATGGACACGAAAACAACAACAAACAATAACATTAAAAGAAATATACGCAAAATATTATTTAATTTTATAGTAAGCATATATTATAATATATTCTTGTGTTATGCCACTTGTCAATACTAACAAGTCTATTTTAACGCAGAAGTGTGCGGTTCTTCTTTTTTCCAGTGGCGCCATCTATGGCCGATAAATTTGACTTCTGACATGCACATACGTCGCAGCCCGTTTTACAGGGAGTACTCGGTCACATATCATGCATCCATCCGCAGATCGAAATTTTGACTTCAACCAGAGCACACTCAATCTCCGATCCAATTCCCCCCTGAGGTATTGATTTGTTATAGGGACTTGGAGGACTTTGTGACCCCGACAGATATAGCTTGCAGTCTTCAGCCGGCGGGGATCGAACACACGACCTCTTGGACATGGGCCCAACGCCCTGCCAACCAGACTATCCCGCCTGCATTATAATATACCATAAATATATTTCGACTAAAGAAACTAAAAAGTGTTATATCTGTCTCAAGTTTTGCTTTCATTCAGTTTTCTCTTTAAAAGAGATTATCAAGAACGAAAAACTTATCTTCCGGTTTATGTATGGGCCATTATAGCATAATGCAAAATCTATACTAATAAACATATTTCTTGTTTTTAAAAATAGATCATTAAATTTTATTGGTCACCACAAAGATTAGAAAACTTACAACATACATATAAGTTTGATACGAGCAAGATGAATCCACTGCTTAATCATTGTTCTATTCAACACGTATACGCTTGCGTAAGCTCTCTAACCCCTTTCCTCCCTTATTCTACATTCAATCTTAGATGAAGGTATAGATAGCCCTATCGGAAAAATATATATTTTATTGAATATATATTTTAAATTGATTTTTTTTAAAAAAAATCATTGTTTTTCTTAATTTTTTAAAATTATTTTCAAAAAATCCATTTTAAGGGGGCCCCTAATCATTGGAGGCCCCAGGCCATGGCCTAGTCTGGCCTAATGGGTAATCCGGCACTGTTTGAATTATTTAGTTCTCGTGGTAGGTAAAATAGTATAATATTTCATTTTTAAAATTAACATTTTTACGCTAAAAAATAAATATCACTGCCACTAATGAAAAAAAAAACTCTCAATGGTCGTATATGTAGGCACCTAGAATCATGAAAATGAAAAGAGTAATTGTGAATACACCTCATTTTTAAATTTTTATAGAAAATGTTTCGAAATTTTCTTGAGATCTTATTGTTGATCTGTCCTTCCATACATTGATTTAAATTATACATTTGTAATAGATCAGGGNGTACAAAAAAAAAATATAGTAATCTTTAGCTGAAACGAAGCTGATTCAGATAAAAAATTTTTCCATACATCTGCATGGGTTGGCCTTTATTTAGGAATGGGAAAATGAGATAAAATGTCATAAATATTTCGGACATTCACCAAAGCGACTATGTGATTGTCAACATTCACCGGTGAAAGTCAACAACCACCGATTTCGGTCATTCACAGTAACATGCACATCATTTACATAATAATCTCATCAGGACGTTTATTTCATACTTTGCCTAAATAGCATTTGGCATTTTATAGAATGCCTAGGCATTGTATACAATACCTAGGCAAAGTACGTAATGATTCTCACATTTCATACTTTGCCTAAAAACGTCAGGCATTCTATACAATGCCGGAGTTTCATACTTTGCCGGTAACATATACATATGTTTGAATTATTGATTTCTCGAGATAGGTAAAACAGTATAGTATTTAATTTTTAAAATTAACATCATTACGCTAAAAAATAAATATTACTACCACTAATAAAAAAAAAAGTTCTCAATGGCCGTACATGTTGGCACCTATGTACATGAAAATGAAAAGTGTAATTGCGAATACGAAATTATTAAAATACACCTCATTTTTAAATTTTTATAGAAAATGTTTCGAAATTTTCTTGAGATCTTATTGTTGATCTGTCCTTCCATACATTGATTTAAATTATACATTTGTAATATATGACGAAATTCTTCCAACTCTGTCTGTTAAAGTATAAATACATCATCTTTGCTGCCACTAGAGATTAGATATTTTCACAAACTACGAAAATTACGTATTACTTAGTTCGAAGGTATAAGTCAGTCGAATCGAAAAGGGGTATTTAATGGCGTATTCTAAAACAAACCATGGTTGACTCCTGTTACAGTGCATCCATCAGAGCGCTTTCGTCGAAATCAATAATTGGTAACCTGAGTCACAAGTGATGGCGGAATGTGTCACAACAACCTCATCCATCACATGTAAACAAACAATTCTTCATGGGTGGTGACAACATGATTTTCTGTCATAAACAATTAATGCGTAGCTTGTCTTTTGAGTCATTTTAACAGACAGTTAATTATTTGCAGATCAGAAACTATCAGGCATATTGCACTTGAGGGGTCACTTTTAATGGATATTGTTTCCCTTTTTTGCGATAAAAATAAGGATCGTTTAATTAAAAATCAAAATCGTTCCCCGACATTGAGAAAAAAAAAGAAAGATTATACCCATATTTTATTCCTTATCTATACCTCCTATTTGATTAAGATTTTTTTAATTCTTCCTTGTTGGGGCTTTTCAATTTTTTATATCATACGCGAATAACACCAGAAAGCATTTTTTTTTTAAATTATATAAGTTTCAAAACTTTATATTTTCCAGGGGGTCATATAAATGTGGTGAAAAACTTCAAGGAGAGTTAAGGTACATCGTCGGGATTAAAATTACATAGGAACCCATACCCAGAAATGTCGTCAAACGCCTCTAGGAGCGGTTCCCCATTATGATCTGTTTCTTTGTGTGGTTCTAAACAGATAGTAATAGGGAAGCACCTCAAGCCGCGTACGGTGACAATTCCGGGCATGAGTTTTTTATGCAACTTCATTCCTGATGGCGTGCTCTAACTCCCCTAAAAGTATGTCGCAATATTTAAGCGGCCTTCTTTTATATAAAATGTTTTTAAACTTGTACATTTCGACAAAAACAGACTTAAACTGTCAGTTAACCCTTTTTAGGGCCGTGGTAAGTATATTTACCACAACTTTTTTACCACTTTTGATTTAGGTTTCCATTTGTTAATAACTTCAGCATTCTTGAAGTGCGTTTGAATAAAATTGGTAAAAAATTTTTAGTTTTAAAAAACGTAGAAAAAGTTAAAAAAATACATAATTCCTTTTGAAGTTTGTAGCATTCATAAAATTTATTTTATAAATAACGAAAAATAAAAGACAACGAGTTCCTAATAGGTCGTGTTAATATACTTACCACCAAAAAGAAAAATGGCATTAAAATTTAGACTAATTTTTAATTAGCTAAATGAGTTTTTTTTTCTTATATCAATTACTATTCTTCTATCAATTTCAAATCCAAAAATACTTTAGTTTGCCTTTTCTAGAAATAAATGGTCCATTTAAGGGTTAAAAAAGAAAAACTCTAGCATGCAGAAAAATTAATTTCATATTTGAAACCCTCACACCTGAATTAGGCAAGATCAAGTATTTGCATAAATGCAACGAAAAGTTTGTTCATCAGAGTTATCAGTAAGTAACTCGAATTAGTTTTATGACCTATCTTTATGTCACGGGATTAGAATGGACAAAATGAACAATTTTTTTAATGGTTCTTAAAAAAGTATACTTTCAAATTACCTTATGTATCGTCAAAATGAAGATAAAAGTTCAAATTTTAATTATTAAAAACAGTGCTAGATAAGTTTAAAATAATAAAAAATATCTAAAAAATACTTTTTGACAAATTTATAAAAATTGCCATATTATATTGGTTTATTAAAACTTTATGTCAATGTCGTGCTTAATAACATAAACTTATATATATTTTAAAGATACATGCCTAAGTGAAGAAACTCCTGATTTTGCTAACAGATTTTCTTTTTATATTTAAAGTGGTAACAAAATATATACATACCTTCATATTTTTACCTTGGTTTGATAAAGTTAATTTATAATGATTTTTTTTCCACCGCTACATAAAAACGATCGAAACAAATTACCAAAATTCTCAACAATACTCTTTAAAACTAGTAATTATTTAAACTTTAATGTTCCATATTTAGAACAAAATTTTTTTCAAAAATTATTAAAAAAAGAAAAACAGACTGGTAATTTAATTGTTTTAATTTAACTTACTTGTGTATCTCGCAACATATTTTAATAAATACTGTTTAGAAATATGCAAAGATGCTGAAATCATGCCTGTTATATTTTTTTAATCAAATTGGTTGTTAAATTAATAAAATGTAAACAGTTAAGTGTGTGTGTAGTTAAAATAAATTCTGCTTATTGCTAAATCATTCGTTATATTGCTACCATTACAAAGAATCTTAACCAGAAATGCATAACGACGACACTGATTCTGCAGTTTAGAAAGAAAAAGTGGTAACTGTATAGTGAAAGTTTTAGCATTTGAAGGGAAACATTTTAATTGTCACATTCACTTTTCGCATTCCCTTCCAGCCATCTGAGACAAAACTAAAATTGTAGGATGTTTCAAAATAAAATAATAAATAAATACTACTTTAGAAATAAATGAACTGAGAATAACGAAATTCTTACGATCTCATACAATCATAAAACATTCCAGAAGATGAATGCGTCTTCAAGCAGACGACATTTTCACGAACGAGGAAAGAAAAAGAAATTTACAAATACAGTAACCCCTTTCATGCCTATTTCTGTCCCAAACTCATTCATGAGTTCGCTTATTTTCATCTACACGTTCAACAGCGGAAATCTGGAGTCCACTGCTGTCATCGCCAGCCGAACCTCGTACTTGAAGAAAACTAGAAGAGGGGAAAAATCATGAATAGTGTAAACTTGAACATCTAAATCTGGCAATAGTGATGAAAATAGGAAGGAACTGACCGGATATTCTGATGGGAATAAACTCTATACATTGTGTTTGTTTTAACTTCAAGAAAAACTCACCAAGATGTATATTTATAAATCAGAATGGGTTCTCATATGAACTGAAAAGTAGGTCGCAAATTGTGGGTCTGTTTTGTGTATATCTTGAGCTTGTATTAACCCTTTGAGAACCATAAAGGTTAGATACCTATTGAAATATTGCCTGTTTGAAGTGATGAAGCATCATACGCATACAGATGGCGAATTCCTGAATTAATGTTTCACAGACCAGCAGTTTGAAAACAAACTTTTTAAAAAGATACATTTGTTTAACGTGTTTTGTTTATCCAGATTCTTCGGCAATATTTACAAAATTTGCTTTAGTCTATTAAAGTATAGGCTAACCCGGCAATAATAAATACAAATGCTTTAAAATTATTTCTCAACATTTACACAATTTCAGTTTTTTTATTTTCTTTCAGTGTCCCCACCCTGTTTAAAGGAGCGTCCGTACATACAAAATTAACAACGATTCTCTATTTAACATAATACTATCTACTACTATGTGACTGTACTATGTGATTGAAATCACATGATTGGGACTAATCACGTGGTTGTGCTTTGTTTTATATGTTTATTTTGTAACCGCCGTTGAACAGCAGACCCAATGTTTTGGGTTAACGACTACTAATCTTAACTATGTAGCCTTGAAATTTTGAACCCAATCCTGAACACAAGGGAACTTCTGGATCAAGTATTGGGAGAAATTTGCCATTGTGGAGGACTTTTTGATGGAACTAATCCGTATTTGCGATGCATGGAGAGGAAGACCAATAGAACCTCCTACGGTTAGCCTGACGGCAAGGGGACTTTCACCCATCATTCATCTACCACTGAAGATATTTCAGGCCAGCACTGTGGTCGGTGCAAGCCGAATGCAGAAATCGTATCGACAAGTCATCCCAGGGATCCGAACCCGGTTCACCTCATTGGAAGGAGAACGTTTTATCACCTGAGCCATCGTGGCTCGTTGCGCTAGGTTTAACGTTACAGGAATTAAACTTGTTTTATTATCATACTGAATAAATTTTTCGATTAGATTTATTTATGTACCTCAGCGTCAAGCGATGTCACGCGTGTGTGTCCAACCGGGTTGGCTTCTGAATCGTGGCATCAAACGAATGTCACAATTTATTTACAATGCCGTCGCTTACAGGAACCCAATTTTCCAGCCGAATCAGGTACCTACATAAGACGAAAGGATAACTGCTATTCATGATAATGATGTTCTGCAGTGGCTGGCTAATCAAGAAGCGTTTTGATGCTAACAGCAGCTATGAGTTGAAATTTAAGTTAGTCGTGGCGCGAAAATGTTTTAGACTGGCGGCATGTGTAATAACTAGTACTAGAAATACATAATTCGAGTAAATTTTTAATTTTTTTTATATTATTATAGTTACTAAAATTGTTTGAAGAAATGGATGCAATATAGAACACACAAAAATAGTTTTATTTATATACGCAGAGATGCCAACTTGCTCCGGACAGCGAATAAATATTTTGAAGTGGTAGTTTATTAATTATGATTCTTGGTTTATAATAAATTCATCTTAGTAGATTTTTATCCACCACTATTTCTAAACAATTCGTAGGCTTATATAATTCACCACTTTCTTTCCAGATATGTCGTGCTAAACCTTTTAAACTACTGGCAAAATCTGTTAAATATTTGCAAATGTAGTTGTAGTCGTATACCGTGTGGCCAGACGGGCATGTCATTTAAAATTAGCGTGGCATTCAAAGTGTTATAAACATGCTACTTAACTCTGAATTCAAATATCGTGTTTAGATAGTTATTTGGAAATATAATAATCAAATTTATTTTTCTTTTGTACATTTATGTTCAATAATATCAAACTGAGACATTTCTTCTATGTGTATCAAAGTTTTGGAATGACACCAAATTAAAATTAAAAAAAAAAAAATATGATTTTATGCGAAGATAATTACATACATTTACAATAATTTGCTAATATTTTTTTTTCCAATTGAGCGCAGTGTAAGGAACACTCAACTTCATTCTTAATAATCTGGGACTTCCTAGACATTATACGTATGAAGACCAAACGATTAGTTGAGGATTATTTTCTCTTGGCCGTAGGCAACGCTTCTTCACTACTTATCACAGTTCTTTTTTTTTTTTTAAATGACACATTGACAAATGAACTTTTTACCTGCCACCACTTCCCGGTTGGTAATAATATGCATTTAAAAGTTCGTATTATTTTCTTCTTATTTAATTTTTTTTCTCCCTCTTATGATTGGTTACAGTTACGTTTTACTCTACGGGAAAGAATGCTCGAAACTCAAAACGATTTTTGTTTATTAAATAAAAAGAAGCTATCATTATGCAACAATAGAATATTCATTATCGTATAAATTAAGGAAGGGAAAAATCGCTAGTTGAAAAGTTAAAAACCGTTTAAAAAGTAAAACCTGCTTACGTGGGTAAATACGTCGTGCTGTTCCTGTCTAATTTTCCAATTTTTTTACCGGTTATTCTACTGAAATATTTAAAGAGGTAGCAAAATTCGTATTTTACGTTAGATTTAAAATGATTTTGAGCTTCGCGGTATTTAAATAATTCCGAATTATAAATAATATATAAAAAGTAAATTATTCGCGCAACAGCCTATTGTTGGTCAGCACGTTAAGCAAGGTGGAGTGATACGAATTTCGAATTGGCAGTTTTATTATACCATAGCTGCCAGCCAACGCTATTTATTCTTTTTTTTTTTCAACTGTGGCCAAATTCATTTAATTATCAATATACCCCATAGACACCAAGCCATAAATCTTAATTTACTAACATATTTAAATTGGTTGTGAAGTAACAATTAAAGTAGGTAAGTTTAAGTGGCAAAGGTGCCAACTTGTTCCGTAAACTTTAAAAAAAAAAAAAAAAATTCTAGTAGTAGCGAAATTTCAGGTACTTTTAGTTTAATATATTTGATTTTAAACCATTTTTTCACCATTGCATGACAAAAATTCCAAGTTTCTCATGAACTTTATGGCATTTATCTCGTGGTGACTGTTTTAAAAAGTAGGCTTAATTATATTTATTCCACAAGTTTTACTATTTCATTCGCTGCCAATTTTTTAAAATTTTTGCAGAAAGCGGAGCAGTTGGCATCTCTAGAATTTAGCTAGAAATCTTCCTCCCAATTCTATGTAAGGGTAGAAAATGTTTAAAAAAAAGAAGAAAAAAACATGCTTGTTCCCACTTAAATCAGTGCAACCTCACACTCCTTGTTCGAACTGACTTGTTCGTTCACGTTTCATCAAAAATAAGCTAAAAATATAAATTTTCCATGACACTATTTTAATATATAGAGCTCTGCGACCAATGCCTTAACGGTTCTTAATATAACTGTTATTTATCTATAGTAATTTTGACCATCACTACCTATAAATAATTTAAATAAGTATATAAATATCTACAAAATATTTTTAAAACAAGTAAGGTGTTATAGACTAATGCCTTAACGGTTACCTGCAGAAGTTCTTAATTTTCTTCAGAGATTTTTCTTTTATTTTTAAAATGACTAACAAAATTTATACCTCAATCTTTATGTTTAACAAAGTTGCATTATAGTGATTTTGGCCATCACTTCCTATAAATAATTTAAATAACTAGATAAATATCTAAAAAAAATATTAGAAATAAATAAATAAGGTGTCTGCATAGCTAAAATAATTCCTTTTAACAATTATAAAATCAATACATTATATCGCTACCAGTACAAAAAAATCTTAACCAGGAAATGTAAAAAACTGAAGTTATATGGTTAAATAAGTGAAGAGAAACCACTTCTTGCACTTATTGATACGTTTACTTTATCCATAAAATTTGTGTTCGTAACTATACGTTGTTTTCTTAGGAACTTTTTTTTTTGCACTGAGTATGAAGACTTCTAGAAATTACTAAAAATGACGCACTAACAATATTCAAGGTGTACTAGTTGTTAGCTTAAGGTGGTTTCAATGATGATTTAACGGGATATCCGGTAAAATGCGTGACTCTTCCGCAGTTTTTCTGCTCCGCCAAGACAAACCCATGAATTTAAGCAACCAAAAATCATGTTCCATAATCGTCTATGACGAAATATGATTAAGTTTAAATACTTGCATACCTTCTTTTGTAATCGAAGACTAATGTTTTAAAGCTCGTCTTTCAAATTTTGCTACTCATAATCTATTGATCACCAAAACTGTGCATTCTGTTGGGTAATTGTTTTTCAAAAAGATTAAAACCAATAATATATATTTAATTTTTTTTTTTTTTTTTTTTTTTTTTTTTTTTTTTTTTTTTTAGTGAAGCAAATTTCTGTTCTCACCAAAACATATAAATAAATATAACTAGTAATATTTTGATCTGAAACTATGCATTTGTAATATTTTCAGTACTAAAGTGGTTATATATATCATATTGGAAATTCATTTCTTGGATTAAGGAACTTGAGTCACAATGTTATTAGTTATCACCCTACATGAATAATTCAATCATATGTGAAAAAGAGATGATCAAGCCAAGAGCAATCGCACCCCTTTGCCTTAATGACCTACAGCAAACAACGACAACAACATGATCAAGGAGAATATGAATCGGAAATTGCCTAAAAAATGTAGCTAAAGGTAAACAAAAAATATATTACTTGTTTTAATCGTTATTTCATTACCACTTTAAAAATTCGGATAAGTGTTCGTGGAAAGTAAGGACATTGGTAAATTCGCAAATAATTTCAGGATAATTCCAGGACCTGCCACACGCGGAGGGGAAACGTAGCGTTTTTTTGTACTTTTCTGTACAACCTACTGTACGCGTATTTTATTATTTTCTGGACAGCCTAGCAACACAATTTCAAAAATTGTTACAAACCACTAGAAATGTTTGTAAAATTGAATTTTGCAAAAATATATTTTTTAGTTAGCTTTATGATACTTTTATATATAAGTTTAATTTAAATACATGCAGTGATGGTCAAAATCATGTTAAAAATTAAACTTACAAACCCAAAAAATAAGTAGAAACCCTAAAGTACAAAATACTACAACTATAAGTACAAAAATGAAATTTTATGCAGAATGTGTAAAACTAGGCAGCTACCAAGTTATAAGTGCCATTCTTGAAAAAAATAATTAGATTTATCAGGATAAGTTCCGGCCGTCGAGCCATGACGGCACAGTGGATAAGACACTGAGCTGTTATTGTGTTGGACTGGGGTTCTGTTCCCAGCATCTGATTAACGAATACTAGCTTGTCTTGTCTGGGAAATCTGTACAATGTAATTGGCATAGATTCGACCGTGCCGTTTGTATTAAAATTTTAAAACATTTAACTTTATGGCTCCCTTTAGCCTACAAAAGTTAGCTGTTGCAGAAATACATTTCTTTTTTTTCTTCTTTTTTTTTTAACTTTCGAAGTAAATTTTTTAAACAAAAACGTTTTGAATTCTCAATCAAAACATAATCTAGTTTTTTTTAAAGGTGTTAAGTAAGCACTATAAACAAGTTACAAAAAAAAAAAAAAACTTTTTTATGATTCGCGTTTTAGCATTTTTTTGAGTATAGGTACATCAAAGTCGGCTTTTTAACAAATTATTAGGATAAAACATACAGTTCTTTTTAAGGAACACTGAATTCCTAAATAACTAATGATTACTTTCATTTTGTTTTTATTTATTTTTATAGAAAACAAAAGTCGTCGTAAATCTAAAAAAGAAAAAAATAGATAAAACGATCTCCGAGCCCCTAAAGTCAACATCTGTTCGGAGAATTAATTTCAAGTTCATCCCCTTACTGACTGTCTATCACATATTCTTTCTATCTGTTTCATTTAAAAAAAATCAAAATCAAAAGAATCTTACCAAAACGCGTCTGATCAGAGTGTAGGTCAGCATTTGACGTGTTTAGAAGGTTAGATTGACAGATTGCGCGAATCTTCAGGGTGGGCAACACCATACCACTGAAGGTACCGACTTTTTTATTCCCATTTCTTCACTTTTTCTTTTGATTTAGCCATTTTTCCCCCCTCTTCTAAGCCTCCAGGCCACCGACGAAGACATGGAGAAAGAAAGAAGATTCCATTCTATGGACACATGTTGGAACTGCTAATTTTTTTTTCTTTGTTATTTTCTTCTCTTTGTGGATTTCAGTTGTTTATTTTGCACTACCAAAAAATCGTTTGGATGGCAACAATAAATGCACCGACAGCGAAAACCGAAAAATAAAATAAAATGATAGAACTGAAGTGAAAAAAAAGGAACGCTTTCTTCCCTCTTCCATCAGAAAGAAGAATATCAACTTGGGTGGGGATATGAATTACGAATAAAAGAGTTTATTTTGAATTGGACTTCGGAGGGTAAATTTCTCATAGACATCTTAGTTTGCTGATAATTTAATAGAACTATCAAAAGGAATCATATTTCTTGACAAAAAATTAATACACTACACTGGACGTATATTTCTATTCTATTAACCGGTTTATTCCAAGTGAGTAAAATTAATAAAACTTCGGCGAAATATAAAAATATGTTTGTGTATGACTGATTTTGTGGTTTAAAATTTTGCAACTACTTTGTAAAATCCTTTTTGGAAAGAGCAAAAATTTTCTTGTTTGTTTATTGTTCTTGTTCTTTTGCAGTGCAATGAACTGTTATAACTATAGATTAATTTTCAAATAAAGCCATACGTACCGCAAAAGTTTGCATGTGTGATAGATATTTTTGCTCAATTTAAATATCTGGAGATTATAATCCTTTTAAATCATATTTATAAACAAGCAATAAAAAAATATTTGTACTTTAGGTACACATTTCTTTCTTTCCTTTTTTTTTTTTTTTTTTTNTTTTTTTTTTTTTTTTTTTTGTAAAAAGAGTGGCTGTTGGCAGCTACATATTTATAAGAACTTACAGCTTTGTAGACATTTATACAGCTTTTTTTCAATATTTTAATAGCATTTAATGTCAAACAGTAAAAAATCGCGTATTACAAATCAATGAGAATTTTAAGGAAAAAAAAAACTGCTCTACCTTAATTTGAAGCAGTAACACTACTCTGGTTAAGAAGAAATTTTTTTTTTAAAGAATCTATAATTTGAATTAGCAAAAGAGACTGATTGAATAAATATTTTAAAACAAAATCTCTTTATCCAAAGAAGAAATATCATGGGCCGGGGTAGACCAGTGGTCAGAGCATCGGACTTAGGTCCGGAGGAGCCGGGATTCAGTATTCAGAGCCACTGAGATCAACATGTGATATATGTGCTTTTCAAATCTATAGAATTGAAAGTCCCGTAGTTAGCTGTTGAGCAGTACCATGGGTACAAGAATCTGAAGAAAATTCCATTACTCATCAGATCTAAGTCTAAATTGTGGAACTGGCTTCTCGAATGTGAAGTGCTACTATCTATCCCGGGGGTTCTTAGCTAAGTTGCATTTTCACCCTAGCGGTGCTCTCTTGTTAAACGAAAGGTGCTCCTTTCTGACTTAATTTGCCAGGGAAAATGGTCGGCAACCTGGGATGTTGTCATTAGAAGCAGAAATATTAAAGAAAATATACATAACTGCCAACCAGTTTTTATTTTTAAAAATTCTCTAAAACAAAGGCGTTTCTTGTGTTTACCAGCATATGATTAAAATGGATTAACTCTTTTATTCTCTATTTGGAATCACATCTTTAAAAACATCTTTGAGCTTTAGACGTAGCACTGCAATTCGGCAATATAGTCCCAAAAAATAGTACCATAGCATGCAATTATTATTTTTTTAAATTGGTTTTTAAGCTCTTTTTTACATAAATCAAATGATATTAAAATTTAGATTTAGGCTAAAAAAAAGTTTAGGAAGTGCTAAAAATTCAGGAACTCAGTCTTCTCAACCACGTTTTAAAGGTTTTCCGGTTGTGGCACCCTTATTTTAAGACTCGGGGAATTTTATGACTCAAATTTTAGCCTCTAAAAACGGCATCGATATTACGCGTGCACTGTTTCTTGCTTCCAATAAATCTACCCGATCTATCAAAGCTATAAAAATATCTTGAAATTCTAAAATAAATAACTGCGTTCTATCAAAACAAACATCTATCTATATTATATAAAACGCTAATACGTANTCTTTTTACGTTGCCACTCGTAATTATTAATTAAACACTGGATAATATTACGCTAATGACACTTTTAACTAATGACGTCATAAAAAAATAGTGCTTGGAGTCCCTCCGCGTGGAAAAAGTTAAGCTTCGCAACCTGCGACGTTAATAGTAGAAGGATCAGCAGTCGTAGAAGGATCACTAGTTCTATTCAACGACTCTTTTTCCTGCTCCGCTCGCTTCCTTGCTCTGAAATCACGGTAATATTGTGCATTTTTCCCTCGTGAACCTCTTGAACCCAGTGGAAGCGCTTGTGGTTGCCTCATCGTATCGCCCTGGAAAATGTATTAGTATTAATAATGTATGTGAATGCGTCATAATGTAATTTCAAAAGAGAAAACCTAACAATCAATTGATATTCACAAGAGACGTACCTTGACATAACCTTAAATCCGTCGCATTGTCCGTGGGATTGTTTTCACTCATTTTTTACAATTGTTATCCACTAAATTTGAAAATAAAAAATACTACCCTATTAAATTATATGTGTATCAAAACAAACTAAAAAAATATTTATAGAAAAACAATACTTTTATTATTTTTATGCTAGTGAGAACCAAAACAATATGGAAATGAATGAGGGAAAACTGGATCCTACCACGTGATTTCCCGGCCAATAAAAATGTAGCGTTAAACGTTTAAGGCAACCTTGTTGGAAGTCGCATCAGAAGTATAACTTCAATAATCGTTTGCATAAAATCTAGTTCATAATAATCATATATAATCGTTTGGTATTTTTATAGCTTTACATAACATGGACAAAGTAAAGAAATATATTTTTTATTTTTTATGTTGTTCAAAGAAGAGTGGTTGCTAAGAAGGATAAAACGTTTAGAAGTAACTGTAGTTTAAAATTTCTATAATTTTGTATTATTTTGGAACTCAGTAGTCCAAGGAGAGACGCGCCTTCGGAAAAAGATTAAAATCAATATATTATATTTCGTTTCAATTTCTAATATTTAATAATACAATAAAAAAGATATACTTTTTTTGCTAATTTTTCAACAATAACTTGTTAAATGGGGCGACTTGTTAAATTTCGTTCATTCTTTTTCTCAATCTTTTCAGAAAAAAAAGAAGAAGAAAAACTTTAACCGGTACTTAAAAACGCAGTGAGGAAGTAAAAACTGCATTTGATGAGTCGTTCATAATATATTTCCACCAAAAAAAACATTTATTATTTTTTTCCAGCTAAAAAAAAAAGTTTTTAATTTAAAAAAAGAAGTTGCCCATCCCAATTATTTTATCTAAGCTTTTCGCCAATCTTTGTGGAAAGCCATACTTCAACTCTTCAGACAATAAGGAAAGTATTTTTTAAGAAAAAATATCTGAGAAGTTATAGAATCAAGTAGCAGGTCCCTTTTTTTACCCCTTGGCTTTTCAACACAAAGAGCCGCTAAAGCGTCAAGTTTCTGGAAGACTCCATTAGATCCAAACCACCTACTTTTTGCCGTAAGATAAGCCAGAATAGGTGAAAAAGAATCTTTTTAAGTGCGAAACAGAATTCTAACACTCTGGACGATATATTCTTTATTAGATAATGGAATTTGGCAGAGAGAAAAAAATAGGGGAAAAAAAGGTTTCTTATTTTTCGTGTCAAATTCGCCAAAGGGTTTCGAATTTTTCAGAGAACTGATACAGAGCTACAGTTTGGTTTTTCATGAATCGCCGATTTCAAAGATCATATAAATAATTTTTCTTTCGATTTTTATTTCTCCTTTGTAATATCGGATTCCAGAGTCTGAAAAATGTTCTTTATCAAACTAAACTTTTAAACTGCTCTTGGCATCTGTATGGAGATTTTGGCGACACAAACAAAAAGAATGGATTTCAATGATATATTATTTTTATTGTCAAAATATTTTCGATTGATAAAAAGAAGTCAGATTCTTTTAAAGAACGAAAGTATGAATAAAAAAAGAGAAGGGAAGAAAAATAAATTCTTTAAATACCTTTTATTGTTGTCTCTTGGTACATTTTTATCGAATACAGTGGCACAATTAAATGGCGCTTGCATATAGTGTTAAAAGCAGTTAGAATTAATTTTAAAATGATTTTTCCCCTAAAATTTTTACGTGAACTAGATAAATATGGTAAAACGCATTTTGGCGAGGATCGGTTGCGTGTATTACATATATTCTGCATTTTTAGTTAAGTCAGCCGCCAAAGACATAAAAAAAAAAAAAAAAGTGGGGGGAATGCGAAATTTAAACATAGCTTTAATAAAATTTTAACAACTAAAATAAAAACATCCAAGATTAATCGAACACGTTAAAACTAAAGAATAGATGTAAAGCAAATCACAAAAATAGAAAATAACAAATTTTTACGATGGTATATCACATTTCATTTCTTGAAATTCATTTAGATTACAAAAAAGGGTACTTTGAAGTTTCCAGGTTCGCCAGAGCATGAACTTCGCTACTTGAACCAAGTACGCTGATTACTACACCACACCATTTTGTTTTCACTTGCATACGAAAGAATATCAAAAAAATTTCTTTTTTAAATTTAATAACCCATGATAAAGAAGGAACGTTACAATACTACACGCTACATTAAAGACGTCTCCAGAGCAACTGAATGGCTGTTCATATAGAAATCGCAAGTATTCGTCTCATACAATAACGCCTCCTATATTTCGTTGTGATCGCGAATTAGTTAACATGAACTATAATACTTAGCGGCGATTCACTCTGACGTTATCACGATGATTTTCTTGAAGTTTCTTATGGCCCAGCTGCCTACAGTGCCTTCCAGCAACACTTAATCGAAATAGTTAGATGTGATTGTTAGATGTTCAGTAGATGTGAATAGTTGACATTCTACGTTATATTAAGTGGAGTCTTTTTCATATTTTTTTACTTACTTCTTATTATCTTCTAAAAGTGGAGTTTCTATACTTTGTTTCAATCAAAATTATTGTATTAAGATTGGATTACGTGTGTTTATGTTAGTTTTTAGAAATATTTTATTATTGCGCATTTATGTACACTGGTGTGCAAAACTTAAGCAACAAGTGCGTTTTTTATCATAACTCTACAAGAAATCATCCGATTGACATGAAATTTGAATATGATGTACATTATTTTGTACTTAAACGATGGTAAAAGAATAATGGCGCAGAAATGAATATAAAGCTTAAAGTAGGGTATGGAACAAAAAAAGGCTTTATTTGACATATAGTGGCGTTACACATGATTGCCTGAAGAAGCGTAAGTACAACTGGCAGATGTTCCCTAGTATGGGATATGCCCTCCCCTTACTGTAATTGTTGCTTGGCATCGTCTCTCCATGCTAAGCACCAGATTATCCAGAAGTTCTTGGGGTAAACGTCTACATTCCTCCTTTAACGCATCTTTCAGCTGATGGGTGTTACCAGGAGGATACTGTCGTGCCGCAAGACGTCTCCCTAATGCATCCCACACATGCTCTATGGGATTTAGATC